AAAAAATTATGCCAAACATATTGAGCAGCATAGAGGTGTATAGCATGGTAAAAAGCCAAATTTGTAAAGAGCTTTTGACTTGGAATATTTTAAAAAATGATATCAATAATAACAAGGAAAGAAAAAATAAGAATACCTGAAAGCATCAATATATGTTGAAATTGTCTTCAGTTCAATCCCACATGCTTGTGCACGTTCAGCTAGTAATTCTGGCACGTGCACACGTTGGGCGCCAGAAATTATCTCCTCACCTAAGGGATGGGAAATGGATAATTAGATTTTCGTTGATATTTAAAACCAAAACAACAATGCTGATACAGCCATTGATGATTTACCTCGAATAAAAACATCAAATGAATTACTGTAGGCAGGATTATCGTGGCAAGGCATCGTATAGAACGGCCTCACAGCCAAAGGATAGCGGTGGAGTATGTAGAACTCAGTGCCGTACCTATGATCCAGTAAAATCCAGTTCAAACATTTATAATAACAACAGAATCTAAATTAACTGTGAGCAAACTAAAACATATACTTATGAAGATATAGAGCAAGAAAATTAAAAATTACTTCTCCAGAACCAGTTGCCCCAGTTTTCTCTCAGCCTCAGTGTTAAGGTCCCCCATGGGATCCACTTCAATGCCAGCATCCTGTACAAGGAGGTCAAACTTACAATAAAAATAAAGAAAACTCTGCAATTGAAAGCAGGCCGTGCCTGTTTTAGCCTTCCATGCATGCAAAAAAATCATAAACATAAGAGTTTAGTCAAAATAAATAAAACAAAGAAATATTCAGCTCATTTATGCACAAGTTATAAATTCCAAGGCACTCCTCTCCCTCAATGGCCTGCACATAGATCCATGCATCTGTGCATCCATTGTTTTCATTTGTTGCCCACTCTGCAAGATAACTCCAGACTACCTAATTTGTTGGGTTGTTTTCTACAGCTCATGAACACAAGTTTCTGAATTACCAGCAATTGCCTACATGGAGCTTGCTACTCCATCTAAAGCTCTCCTAATCATAAAAATAAATAAATATACCACCGCATGAAAGATCAAACTAGTATGATAGTATTCTATCCCCTCTTCAGCTTCAAGATTTCTTAAAACTCATGCTTCCTCAAGAACTACGTGACTTGTGAACTGTGATACAGCCCTATCAAAATCTACAATCATTCAATTAATTTCTCTATTTTATTCAGTGCAAAACATGAACCAATGAAAATAAGTAAATAAATAAAATTAGCATAGTATTCCTAACCTTGAGCATTTGAATACCTTCTTCAAATGTAAGGCGTAGAGTCTCTGGCAAGTACTGCAAATTTATGAAATGTCAATAATCAGAATCCAAAAAATTTATGGGCACAGGCCTGAAATATTTGGTAACAGTTTATTCTATAACTGACAGGAATATAAATGAGTTTATTAGGAAAAGATCATGCAGCACACCAAACATATCACATTACAATTATAATGTCAATAAAAATAAATAAAAAACAAGAATCAAGACCTTCAATGGTTCGAAGGGATATTGCCTCCCTACAGCTTCAAGCTCCTTCTCACAAGTCTTGTTCAAAGTGTCGAATATTGTAACAAATAAACGGCCAACAATATCCATCACCTGCACGAACAAGCATATAACTACTCAGTAATTCACATCCATTATCATATTGGGTGCTAAGAGAAAACCTTAGAAATTCAAACTCTACCTCAGAATAGTGACTCTTGATCTCCATTTCAACATCAAGACCAATAAACTCACACAAATGCCTATGGGTATAGGAGTCCTCGGCTCTATAAACACCACCAATCTCAAAAACACGGCCAAAGTCACCACAGATAGCCATCTGCTTGTGAAGCTGAGGTGATTGGGCAAGGCAGGCAGGTTGACCCTTGTAGTCGAGTCTAAACACAGCAGCACCACCTTCGCTTGAACCAGCAATCAGTTTTGGCGTGTGGATTTCAAAAAAGCCTTCAGATAACAGAAACTGCCTAAAGATCTACACAATAACACAACCAATTACATACAGAACTAAACTCTAACAACAAATTTTCTACAAATTTACAAAGAGAAACAAACACAAAGCATATATCTGCAAATGCTACAAACAAAACTTACAGTTCCAACTTGGCTCTGGATCCGGAAGATCCCCTGATTCGCTGGTGTTCGAAAATCAAGAACTCTATTGTTCAAGCGTGTATCCTGATTAACACGAACAAGCTTTTCTCCAGCCTAAAACCCACCAAACGATCCAATAAATTTACATACAAAAAAAAATTCCAAATCCTTGATAACATTTCAAGAATCCAATTAACAACCAAAAAATTAAAAAAAAACTCTCATCTTACTCTCTTAAATAATCATTGTACCTGCAAAGCTTTTTCGATTTCAGCATCGCTTCGAGCAGCATCCTCAATGTTAATAGGTAGCACAGCGGCTTTACTCACACAGTACAATTTCCTAACTTGAACCTCCACCTAATTAAAATCAACATTTCAATTATAATCACGCATTAACTAAGCAGTGAATTCATAAAAATAAAAAAATAGAAATAAAAAATTACCTGCTGTGTGGTGCCCTTTATCTCAACACTAGGAACAGAAACAACTCCTTCAATATCAATAATCGATTCGCGGCTCAAACCGGCGACGTACTTCACCATCTGGCGGCTCACGGTATCAGGCTGGACCGTAGCCACACACTGCACGGTGAAGCCTCTCTCTCTGACGACCACAAACGCCATGTTCTTCCCCACGGCTCGGATCGTCTGCGCTCGGCCTCGAATCAGCACCGAGCGGTTCTCCGATGTGTTCCATCGGCTGACGTCCTCCACCGTCTTCGATTGTATCTCGTTGAGCGGGACGTCTCCATAGTTGGCGGCCAGCGGGTCCTGCTCGTCATCGACCGCGAGAGAACGAGTGGCGGCGGCTAGGGCTTCTTGCTCTTGGCGGCGGCGAAGCTTCTCTTGCTTGGCAGCTTCCTTCTTGGCGGCCTTTTTGCTGACCGAGGCTGCGTCTTCGGAAGTGGGTTGCGATTCGGGTGTGGACATTGTCGGGTCGGGTCGCGTTCAGAATAGTAGAGTGGCGGACTGAAATGTCTGGACAAACAAAACTGCTAAAATATTTGGAGATGCTGTGTGCGTTTTGTATTGTGGGACGATATATATACGAGTACAATTTAGGCTATAGAGGAAATCTAGCTAGAGATGGGCACTCAAACCGGCGAACTATAAATTCGAGCCGAACCAAACTGGAAAAAAATCGAGTTCATCAAAAAGTCAACAACTGGTCAAAAATCAAATTGGACCAGTTTGGACGAATTTTGGATTCGGTTCCATGTCTTCAAAAACCAAACCTAGCCGAACAGAACTTGTCAAATAAAAAAAAAAATTCAATATATAATTATATTTAATGCTATATTTTTAATTTAACAAATATATATATATTTATCCAAGTTCAATTTCAAAATATCTCTTTTCTAACTTTAATATTTATTTTTATATGAAATTGAATAATTTATTAATTTTCAAGTAAAAAATAATAATATTTCAGTTGATAATTGTATTAAAAAATAATTTTTATAATCCGGTCAGAAACTAGTTCAACCCGAACCAAACAATTTTTGAATTATTTTTATTAAAATCGAACCAAATCAAACCAAATGAATAATACCGGATCTGTTATAATTTGAGGCAAAAATTGGTCCAACCTGAATTGTACCCACCCCTAAATCTAGCCCAAGTCGGCCAAAGCTGAGTGTAAATTTAGACTCTCCCACTGCAGCCCTACACGTGTCCATTGAGAATTCCAATAATAATTGAAATACACAAAATTTACTCTCCCTTTTTTCTTTTCTTTTTTTAAATCATGGCTTCCCTATTTCTTCGAAATTTGTTTTATAGGATCACATCATATTTCTTTAAAGACTATCTTCATTTATTTTCAAACGAAAAAACTATCTTCGTTTTATAAATTTTTTTTTGTTGTCATGGCTTTTTTTTTAAAGGGAGGCATATTTTCCTTTTTGAAATGAGTATTGTAGCGGGGTAGTGGTATTTGTACTATATTATGTCTTTCATTCATATTATAAAGGGGTTTTACCATATAAGAACAAATAGAGTCCCTCAAAAATTAGACAAATAGATCCAGTCACTATTTGATAATGATATGAAATAACTTTTATGTCACTATCGGGTAGTGATATTAAACAACTCTCAAGTCACTGTCCAACAGTGATATAAGAGTTATTTTATGTTCAAACAGTGACCGAACTAGTTTATCCAATTTTTGGAAGACTAGATCATTTTAACATTTTATCTTCTGTGAAGAATTTTTTAAATAATTTTTTGTATTATGAAAGTAGATGAATTGTTAGTCCAAAAAGCGTCATATAAATACGAAAATAATTGGAGACATGTAAAGAAGCAAAGTTTTTAACCAATCAATCCATATTGGGTCTTCAGACCAAAAAATCCTTCTTGGGTCAATTTTTAACCATCGACTTTTATTGGGCCAAGCCACTTTTAAGCGTAAAGGGTCTGTCTGGTTTAAAATTTAGAAGCTTGAGAATGTATTTCAAATTGCATTTCAATATTTGATAAGTACACTATTGGGAATTCAATTATAGACTTATGGGTATGGACTTCCTTTGGGGAATTTCATACCCTTGGCTCACTTTGAGAATTTTTTTGTCCCCACTTAAAAAAACATTTAATGCAAATTTTTTGGACTAACTTTCCCATGTTATTATTTTTAAATATCACTTTTGACACTCTTCATATTAATAACTTTTAATAATAAAAAAATCAAAAATATTATTAAAAAATTGAACAACTTTTCATTCATAATACTCTACTAACCAAACATAGAAATGAGAGAAAATAACTAGTGCTTTAAGTTATCAATTCAAACATTGGGAATTAACATCCTACATTCTCATCTCTTAGGAAAGTGTTTTTTGTTTTTTGTTTTTTGTTTTTTCAAAGTTTAGGAAAGTTTATTTACAGCCTAACCCGTGAGAGAGGTAAACAGGTAAGAAAATCTCCCTGTGAAATTCTTTGCCATCACAGAAACTGATTCGATTGCTACCTGGAACAATTTTGAGTAGGCAAAGATGCTGCTTTCGCTCGTTATTTTATTCGATTGCTACCTTCAACTTAAACCCTTAATTAAAAAACTAGAATAAAATCGTGGGTTTTCGTTTTCTCCTTCTCCTTCCTGCCTGCTTTTCAAGTCTCTGAAAACCTCACTCTCACTCTCACTCTCCCTCCACAAACCCTTTCCCTGCTGCTTGCTTCTACTGCCTCACTCAAAAATGTTGGCAGCTAAAACCCTAATAAACCCTTCTCCGCCCCTCAATCTCCCGAACAAACTCACCCTCCGTCGTCCCAAACCCCCATTCTCTCTCTCAATCCGCAACTCGCTCTCTGACTCACAAGCCCCAACCACTCCGGGTCAGCTCCGAGTCGACATCCTCTCCGAGTCTCTCCCCTTTATCCAAAAATTCCGAGGCAAGACCATCGTCGTCAAGTACGGCGGCGCCGCCATGAAATCAGAGTCCCTCCAGGCCTCCGTCGTCAACGACCTCGTCCTCCTCTCATGCGTCGGCCTCAGGCCCGTCCTTGTCCACGGCGGTGGGCCCGAGATCAACCACTGGCTCAAGCGCCTCAACATCGAGGTCAGCTTCCACGACGGCCTCCGAGTCACCGACGCCGCCACAATGGAGATCGCC